AAAGCCGGAGGTGGCGCTGTGGCTCAAGTGGTAGAGCGCTAGCCTTGAGCTGAAGAGCTGAGGGACAGCGCCCAGGCCCAGAGTTCAGGCCCCACTACCGGACCCCCCCCCCAAAAAAAGAAATGTACTCATTATCTTGCCCATGTAATTGTAACCCCTCTGTACAATATGTTCACAAAAAATTAAAATTAAAAAAAAAGGTTGTAAAGACATGAGTTTGGAGAGCATTGCCATAGAGAAGGCTAAAGTAGCATTAGCTAGGCCTCAGAAGCAGTGAGAAGACAGTTCCAATAATTGTAGATGGAAGTAGGAGGTAATGGGGTAGAGGAGGGAAGTTAAAGAAGTTTACTCTATGGGTACCTGATGATGCTCTTCACTTTGCGGTTGAGGAAAGATTTGATGGAGAAAATGAGTTTGAGATGACTAGTAGATATTTTAAGAGTTGCTGCTGGGTAGTCTGATAAGTAAAATATTCTAAAGCTCAGTAGAGACTTAATTTCTGGTGGCGTTAATTGGAAATTAAGAGTGGTACACATGATATTTATGCATTGAAGTATATGAGTCTTCAAGACCACTTTTAGATTTGACTGTTCAGGAAAACCCAACAGCTTTACTGTCAACATTTAAAGCAAAGACAGCAAAGGGGAAGGTGCATGTAGTAGTAAAGATGAGAGGATTCTGGCTATAAGCTTTCAAGGGTCCTCACCCAGCAGTCACACAGATATAATTATTCCAGCATGTGGAAAGTGCTGACTAACAGGCTCATTAGAAACCCAGCACATGGAGTTCTCATTAGGATCAGTCTTATAGGACACCCTCTGCTGTAAGTCTAGGTTCCTGAAGATGTTCATTTGGAGCACACCTTTGCACAAGTTAGACTCAAGCTACCCTGCTCATTAGGAAATGACCCAAGCTTTTAGATACTGCGCTGTTAATTTTTCATTGCCATGACAAAGCATCTGTGAACCACTTAAAGGAAGAACAATTGATTTGATTTATTTGACTCATGATTTCCTTTACACTATTTCCATCCATGGTTGGCTGGCTACATTGTTTTAGAGTATTATGAGGTGGAACCTAACTGTGTATGTGGTAGAACAAAGCTGTCAATGGTGGCTGAGAAGCAGAAGAGAGAAGAAGGGTCCAGAAACATGATATATACCCTTCAAAGCCATGTCTTCAGTGATCCATTTCTCCAAGAAGCCCATTCAGCTATAAGCTGATTTATAAAGTAATTGATGAAATTAGCCCCTTTACGATCCAATTGACTTTCAATAGTGCCACTAGTAGTGCCACTTGGGTATCAAGTCTTCTAAGAGTCTTTGGGGAGTACTTCAGACCCAAAGCATGACAGCCACCAAGGGCAGGTAGTAGGCTCCAGCATTCTTTCTTCACTTTTTCTGAAGAGTTATAAAGGAGCATTTTTACTCTGGCTTTACATGAGGTACTTTTAGAAGTGGACCTACTTGTGAGCCCTGCTCATAGTGAGCCAACCCTGCTGTGTATGGCATAAGATAGATACACAGATTACAATGGTATCAAGAAAGTGACAAAGAACTTTGGAAAGGAAAGCCTGAAATCTTACTTGGTAAGCCCATTGTTGTCCAGCTAACACTTCAGGCAGCAAATATATGAATGTGTGTATATGTGTATGTGTGTTTGTTCACTTTTATAATCAGTTATGTCATCTGTAATAGAAAATTAAACAGTGATGAGATTTGTAATTTAACAAGAATTACAATACATATAAAATATTCAGCATAGTGGTCATGTAGGTAATTCTTCGACTTCTTCATAGATCAATAATGAAGGCTTTTTCTTCTTTTTTCACTAAAAGATTTCTCAGTTTGGAGTGGTTAGTGAAAAGATAATGTTCCTTCTTTTAGTGTTTTAGTTGTTTCTGATTCCAGTTGTTAAAGTGACTTCCAGTTCACATTGGAACCACTTATTTTAAACTTCATCAATAAAAATTTGTTTTGAATATTATACCTGTAACTTTGAAACTTCGAAACCTTGATTTATTACAGTGCTCAGGAAATAACGTGTCATGGTTAGTGTGTTCAGTTTAAGTCCTCTTTTTGGCTTTAGCCTTTGAAAATGTCTTATGGTTATAACAAGAGTGAATATTGGTTTCCACTGTCTAATAGTGTGGCTGAAACCATTCCAAACCAGTCCTGGTCTTTTTTGTGTGTCATTGCTGGTACTGGGACTAGAACTCCGAACCTGGATGCTGTCTCTCAGCTTTTTTGCTCAAGACTGGTGCTGTGTCATTTAAGCCACAGTTTCACTTCCAGCTTTTTTGGTGGTTATTTGGATCTAAAGAATCTCATGGACTTTCTTGTCCTGGCTGGCTTTGAACTGTGGTCCTCAGATCTTAGCCTCCTGAGTAGAGAGGATTAACAGGTGCGAGCCACCAACATCCAGCAGTCCTCGTCTTAGTTGAGTCCCATATACCCTAGGAATGGTAAGTGGGAGGTGGTTGACATTATTGTCACTTCTAAATCCTTCATAAAAATTTGTTTTCATGACTACCTTTTCTTTTAAGTGAATGGAAAATCTTCAGAAAACATACTTGCATTAAAAGTACCAGTCAGCTAATTAAGCTCTGATCAGTTGTGATTTGGTTATTGTAACTATTACTGAAATCATACATTTTATCACATTGTCTGCAGGCCACATGCTTTATATGGCATTCAAGGCCCTGCATAGTCTAGTTCCATTCTGTATACTTTATATTTTAGCTATCTGAATTATACTTTCTTGCTCTGACTTGTTCCATTTTGGGTGTTCCATTCAAAGGAAAAGCGTTAGGATGAACAAAGATTGTGCACATAAGAAGAAACGAATTCCAAATAGAAAATGTTATGGTTGAGTGTTGCTAGAATGTGGAGACCCAGATAGGGAACAAGAGGAGATGAAACCTAAGAAATCAGAAGGGCTGCTGAGTCAGGCCCTAAGGCCAGGCTTGAAGGCTTTATTCTTTGTATTCTAAGCTTAGAGTTCTAGAGACATTCACTGATTGAGGTGGTAAATGCTAAGTTGATTTGACATAAATGATCCTAACGCAGGAAGGGGGTTGTTAAAAGTTGGCTATATTTTTTTTTCAAAAAAGATTACTATTCAAATAATTATTGTGCTTATTTTAGGGTGCCTATGGGGGGCATGAATATCTTTCAAACAGAACGTAAATCATAGTATATGAAAAACTAGCTTATATGAAGGAAAATTAAGAAATTGGGGCAGGATTGCTGAAAAGGTAGATAAGGACTAAACTACCTGAAGGCCGAGTGGGAAAGAGCCACTCCTGTTGTTTGGAAAAAAGCTGACTTAAGTGCCAAGGCAAGAAAGAAAACATAGGACTGAAATCAGAATCAAAGGGCCAAGTAGAAACTGCCTTCAAAGTTTTCTATGGACTTTGACTTTTATTCTGAGAGAGAAAGGGAAGAAATCTGATCCCACTTAGCATATCATCTAGAATTACCGTGTTAAAACTTGAGAGGGTCTGGGTGCCAGTGGCTCACGCCTGTAATCCTAGCTACTCAGGAGGCTGAGATCTGAGGATCATGGTTCAAAGCCAGCCCCAGCAGGAAAGTCCATGCGACTCTTATCTTCAATTAACCACCAGAAAACTGGAAGTGGTGCTGTGGCTCAAGTGGTAGAGCGCTTGCCTTGAGCTGAAGAGCTCAGAGACAGTGCCTAGGCCCAGAGTTCAAGCCTCATAATTGACAAAAAATAATAATAATGTCTTGAATGGGGCTGGCTGAACACTGGTGGCTCACTGAGGAGGCTGAGATGGGATCATGGTTGGAAGCAGGAAAGTCCATGAGACTCTTTATCTTCAATAAACTACTCAGAAAGAGCCAGAAGTGGTGCTGTGGCTCAAGTGGTAGAGTGCAAGCCTTGAGAAAAAGAATGTCAGGGACAGTGCTCAGGCCAAGTTCAAGCCCCGGGACCAACACCCCCCAAAACCAAACCAAAACAAAACTTGAGAGAAGGTTGTAGGAGGAGCAAGATAGAAACAGGAAGAGCAGTTAGAGGTGTTGCCCTAACTCATTTGGTTGATGGCAATGGCTTTTCCAGGTTGACAGCAGAGGAAGGAAGGGATGAGAGGGACTCACTGCTGGGTATATTTTAAAGGTGATATAATCTGTGAGTATCTTTGAGCTCTATCAAAAGCAGAAGTGTTTCTCCTTATTTTCCCTGTAACCATCACCTCTGACTGCAGTATAAAACATTTGATTCAAAGAATTAAATTGTACAATTTGTAATTTCGTCTTTTGGTTCCAGTTCAGTGAATTTTGCCACTAACAATTCATAAGTAATGTAGTCTAACCAGGCCAGGCTAAAACCACATTCATATGAATATTAACATAAGGTTTACAAGAGTGTAGTTAGGTTCATATGAATGTTAGCATAAGGTTTACAAGAGTGCAGTTAGGTTAGGGGTTTATTATTCTGCATTTGGTATGGTTTCTTCTTGAGAGTTCTTATAAAGATATTTAATTAAAAACCTAAGATGTAGAGGTATTTCTCCTTAAGTTAGTCAGCATAAGATCATTGACTTCCACTCACTCATGATAAAACAGAATCCTCACAGGAGCACAGTGGGTAGCCAAGGACATTTGATTTCTGTGCAGAAGTCCCTCCCACTTGTCTGTTTGTTGTCTTGCATTTTATGGTAGCAGGAGGTTCCTGTGAGAGTGAACTACATCCCAGATTCTCTATCAAGAGTGTAACATGACAGGAAAAAAATTAACCTCACTTCTTTTTTCAGAATATGAATTAAAGGACCACATAATTTTTGGTGTGTTCTGAGTGTATCACTTAGACACCTTTATGAACAGGAAAATAGTGTTAAAATAATTGTGAAGAGTTAACAAGTGGAGATCAGTCTTGGCTTATATATGTGTAACAATTGTATTTGTGCATATGTGTTAGTGTAGTAAATTTCTTTCCCATTTCAAACATTTGTGGTTTTTAAAGATATTTTGAAATTCTTAAAAATTTGGACCATTTTTATTTCCAGCAGAATGTTTGGCACTACATTTTAATTAATGTCTTAAAGCAAGCAATTATTCTCTGTAAAACTCAGCAATTAACTTTCCCCCCTATCTTCCCCATTTTTTAAAAAGGGGAAATGGATAACTTGTATGAAATGATGCTCTCTTTTTCACTTACCACAAGAAAAATGTAGTTTCTGATCAAACTTTGGTTATAGAAGTAATATAAGTTGTGCTTTACTCTTCTGTTTTTAAATATGTATATTATTTAGTTAGATGTTGACTTAAAAATAGGTCTGTCCTAATTAAAAACAAAAATATCGTAAGCTTATACATATCTTTTCATCTTTTCTGGGCAGAGAGGCAGATGAAGGCTGTAAAAAACCTTTAGAAAGATTGCTGAACATCTGGCAAGAAAGAAGTGTATATGGCGGCGAGTTCATACAGCAGCTGAAGCTGTCTATGGAGGACTCCAAGAGCCCTCCCCCCAAAGGTAGAAACATCACCACATGTTTACAGCTCTTGGTCTTTGCCTACTTTCGAATCAGATATGAAAAGCTGCATTGGGGGTTGCTGTGAGCCATCAGCGACTTTATGATTCTTCAGAGACGATCATGAATGATGGTGAGAGTTTCTGTAGTATGCGCAGCATGAGACTGGTTCTAGTGCTCATGCTGTCATCCCTTGTCCCTCACTTGCTGTGTGTCTCCTTGCCTCTCCTTCCCAAGGAAGAGGAGCAGCAAAGTTCTCTAGCATTATGGGTAACTGGGATGGAAGTACCTTGCAGTAAGAGCTGGTCAAGACCCTGCCACTAACTACTGCAGGATCTTGATAAGTCCTGGAGCTCTTTGGAAACCCACTTTTATTAATCATAGGTGTGGTTTTGGAATATAGTCTTAGGATAGTCAATTTACTGGCTAGAATTGATTGTGGTCTTTACTCAATCCAAGGTATCTGAGGAAATATATATGTGAATTTTATAAATTCTAAGAGATTGTTTTTTTCCTCCATATAAATAAAGATTAAAAGCCAGGCTCCTGCCTGTAATCCTAGCTAGTTAGGAAACTGAGATATAAGAATCACTGAAGCCATCTGGGACAGGTCCATGAGATTTAATCTCTAAATAACCAGTAAAAGCCAGACATGGATCTGGAGTGGTAGAGTCCTAGCCTAGGACTGGAGCCCTTGCCTGTGCCAGACAAGTTCAGGGACCGTGCCCAGGCTCTTAGTTCAAGCCTTAGGACCAACACACATACACACGCATGCACACACACACACAGAGTTCAAATGTTACTTGATTAATGTTTTAACTTCTCCTTAGATGTGGTTTAATTCTAATTGTCATGACATACTTCTAAGCTTCAGATCTGATCTTGATTTATACATGTTCATTGCCTGGAAGATCAAGTCCTCTTACTTAAGATTGAGGACCCTTTCTAATCTTAACTAGCTTGCTCACCTTTTCTAGATTCTCTTTTGGCTAATTTCTCACACATACCTTGTTGTATGGCCACACTGACTTGTCAGTTTTTCCCTCTGGATCCTCTGCTGGCAAAGAATCACTCCTCTGTCCTTTCTGTCACTGTGCCTGAGATGTCCTTCTGCCCCTTTGACTCTCACTCTGATATCCTCTTTGCTTGTGTGGGCATATGTAGTTATTCTCCCCTTTGCTCTCTGGTACTCTGTACTTGCCTCTGCTATAGAATCTACTGGGATTAGCCTAGGTGACAATATTGTTCCTTTAGAAACTGTTTATTATATACCCTTCATGGATCTCCATATCTAAAACTACATACATTTCACAGTAACGTGTCTGCAAAACTAGGTTAAAGGCCTTCTAAGAATGATATAAGTGCTTTCAGACTGCCAGTTACTTAGCATGGTTAGGATTTCTAGGGTCATTCTGAAGAGTGAGCTATTTTCTGCTTTGAATTCTGGTAGTGCTGGTCTCGTATCTTTTGGAGGCATTCTGTACAGCATTGGGGAATTACACAGCATTCTTTCCTGTACCCTGCCTTTTAGTTCATTTGGTAAACAGTGCTGATATTTTAAAGCACCTTTTGTCAAACTGGAAAGCTTTAAAAAGGAATGTTTATTAAAGCCAATGTTAGAATTTCTAGTCAAGCATTTGCTGGACATTCTCTTTGTGCAAACACCTATGCTGGCTGCTACAAAGAGCAAGAGAGAAGTGAGAAATAGTTCTGTACTTAGGGAATGGTTAGACAAATAGGATTCTGGCAGAGATAGTGAAAATAGCTTATTGGGTTTATGTGAAAAACTTGTCTTTTCTCTCAGAGTGGATTGCTTAAAAAGGTTCCTGCTTTGGCCTGGTGGCTTGGCTCTTGGTTATTCTGCTAAGACAATATCAGCAAGTACAGGTGGGGAAAAGAGGAATTACTTTTCAAAGTCTTAACAGTCACCTTATGTTAATACATCTCCTATTCCAACTAGTCAATTTTGAGTACGTTGTAAACCTGAGCTCAACCAATCTGAGCAGAGGGCAAGGCCTGTGGCATTACAGATAAATAGAAGAGCAGCCTGCCTGCTTTGTTTACTTGCCTGCCAGATTTCTGGTTGATGGCATACCCTTCTGCAGAAGTAAATTTTGCCTTGGTGAGACAAGTTTTTATTTTCATGTCTATTGTTGTGACTCCAGTGGTTCTTGGAGAGCATATTTATAACAGGTTTTTAAATTTTTTTAAGGTCTAGATAGACATTTACAATAACATTGGCAATATCTATGTGGAGGATAATGTTAATCTAAAGATAATTTCTTTCCTTATTCTTTAAAAATGAAATACACATCACAAGCTCTAGCATGTGAATTGGTCTCAGCTAACTCACTCTATCTTCTCACTGTTTTCTTTGTACTTGGGCTGTCAGAATAGATTGTCATAATTCTTTCAAATACTGATGATTTTTTTAGATGCTCATTTCCAAATTTGAATAGTTTTATAGTATATTTGTGATTTGTGGATAATTATTTGTTTTCAGGCAACCTTATAGAGTTTACCTTGGCAAGAAAACATTTTCTGTAAACTTTGACAGTTCTTAAAACATTGTAACTTACATGAGCTGAAAAATCCTGTTTAGAATTTTAAATTTCTTGAGTTCTTGTACCTGTATCGTTCACGCACGCGCGTGTGCGTGTGCGTGTGCGTGTGCGTGTGCGTGTGTGTGTGTGTGTGTGTGTGTGTGTGTGTTAGGTCCCTGGACTTGCTAAGCAAATTTTTTTACAACTTGAGCCATGCTCACAGCCCTGGCTGCTAGCTTTTTGATTGAAATGAGATCTTGCCTAGGCTGACCATGAACTTCAGTCCTTCTGATCTAAGCATGAGGTGTGTGTATACCTAAGTTGTTCTTACAAATACTCAAACCAAAATACTTTTGATTGGCTGAATAGAATGTTGCTATTTTTCAGAATCATTTATGAATCAAATAGTATCCTGAAGTAATGAAAGAATTTAGAAAGGAAAGGTAGATAGATACAAAGGAGCCAGCAACTATTTCCCTACTAGTTTCTTTGCTGCCTGCTTTTCATGTGTGCTTTATTTTATTTTACATCTTTACAATCATTCTGTGAGCTTGGCATTTTCCTATTTCAAGTGATGATGCGAAAGCCTAAAAAGGTACAGTAATTTTATTCAAGAAGAGGTAATTGATAAGTGGAGAAATTCAAGCCCGGTCTCTATGACTTCAAGACTGATATTCTTCTTACCATACTTTATTTCCTGAAAGCACATAGACTCATTAGACTTGAATTATTTAGGAATTTATGAACAGATTATCAATTTTCATGGTCCTTAATATACTTTAGGAATTGATACTTCCAGAGAATCAGTCCTTTCCCTGCTATTTCTGAAGCTGTGTGACCTTGAGCCCAACATTTGACCTCCTTGAGCCTCAGTTCCTCACTGTCCAATATGGCTGTTAATAGTAACACCTCCTAAGGTTTTGGTGATAATTGATTGAATTAATACAGAATGGGATGATGATAGGATTTTTTTGGGGGGGTCCGGTCATGGTCCTGAACTCTGGGCCTGGGCTCTGTCCCTCAGCTCTTCAGCTCAAGGCAAGCACTCCCCAACTTGAGCCATAGCACCACTTCCGTTTTTTTTTTACTGGTTATGTGGTGCTGAGGAATTGAACCTAGGGCTTCATGCATGCAAGGCAAGCGCTCTACCACTGAGCCACCTTCCCAGCCCCTGATGATAGGATTTTTATTTGCTCCTCTCAGTTCTAATATTGAATATTCCAGAGTTTCTGCTATATGAGCCAGTGGCAAAACTAGGGGAAAATTTAAAATATTTTCATTTCCCTGGATTTTGTACAAGACTGAAGAGTGTGGTTGTTAAGAGCATGAGCTCTGGGCCTACTCCAAGTTGTAGTTGGATTGGCTGCTCAGATCAGTGAGATGATAAGGGTAGTAGACTGTGCCTTAAGGAATAGTTCTTTATTTGTTGCAGGTTCTTTTAAAGACTTCCCACAACCAGGATGATCTTGAGTTTAAAGGTAACCTGGATTAGGTAGCAAAACCTTGCTTCAAGAAAACAAATATTTTATTTAGCAGCAAGGTAACAAGGAATAAGGAGGCTGTTTCCAACAGTATTTACTCATTCTTTTTTGTTTCTAAGAGTTGTATAAAATCTGAAGTTTCTTATTTATTTCAGATATGCCTTTTTTTCTTTTGATAAAGTCTTGCTCTGTAGCCCCGACTGTTTTTGAACTTTTGCTCCCCCTGCCTCAGCCAACTGAGTAGCAGAATTACAGGTATGCATCATCATACTCAACTGAGGGGTACCCTTTAGAAGATCCTCCACATTTGCAGTTAGATTGCTGTGTTTCTGATGTGATTTGGAAACTTTCAGGACAGCTTTAGTCTTCATGTTAGTTTCAGTCTGCCTTGGTATTTGAAATTCTATCATACTCAGGTCTGTGGAAGGTGTACTTAAGCTTAGTAACTAGGATCGCTTGTCCCCAGGACAAGTTGCCACGATGAAGGAGAAGGCGTATAATACAAAGACAGGACACTGACCCCTGCAGTGTTAGACCTGCCTGAAAACAGGCAGGGTAGATGAATGTGAAAGGGAGTGTAAATACAATTCATGACCAGGAACTGGTCATGTAGTGAAACATATTTACTTTCTGACGTAAGAATGAGACCAGTGGATTGGCTAGGTTTTTTTAATTTTTTAAAACTTTTTGGTGATACTGGGACTGAGCTCAAGGCCTTATTGCCCTTCAACTTACACTTCTGGTCTCTTTGTATGATTATTTTCAGAGTCTCAAATTTTTTTTTTATTCCCAGGCTCACTTGGCCTGTGATCCATCCTCCCACTGTGTTTTCCCCATGTTGCTGGGGATGACAGATGTGTACCATTGAATCCAACTGTTGGTCAAGATGGACTCTCATTAACTTCTTTTTGCCTGGGCTGACCTTAAATTGTGACCCATCCTTTATGTTCACCTCCCAAATATTAAATTATTTTGAATGGCTGTCTGAATTGATTGAAAGTTCAGAGCATTGTAACTATAGCAATGATTGCCACCATGGAGTTATTTAATATCCCTGGGCCTTTTTTCCTCACTTGTAAATACTAAACCTCAGAATTGTTGAAAAGATTAAAGGTAAAGAAGCCATTATAATGCCTGTGTTTACTGTGCCTAATACTTTTATTTTCTAAGCCAGAATTTATCATTTAGATTTATCTCCCACAGTTGTTTGTCATTTATTCATTTATTTTGTTGTCCAATTTGATGCAGTAGAAAATATTTTAGAACTAACACATCTATCATAACAATGCATTTGGTACAGATAAGAAAAAATGTAACCTGTCAGCTTTAAACATGGTTAATTTTTAACTGGTAACTTAGGTAGTTTCTCCAAGTAGTATATCAATTACATTTCTCCAAAGGAAAGTAGTTAAGGTAAGATTAGGTTTATATATATATATATATATATATATATATATATATATATATATATATATATATATATATATTTGCCAATCCTGGGGCTTGAACACGGGGCCTGAGCATCATCCCTAAGCTTATTTTGCTCAAGGCTAGCACTCTGCCACTAGAGCCACAGCACCACTTCCAGCTTTTTCTGTATATGTAGTGCTGAGGAATCGAAACCAGGGTTTTGTGCATGTTAGGCAAGCACTCTGCCACTAAGCCACATCCCCAGTCCTGGTTTGTTTTTTTGTTTTTGTTTTTGTTTTTGGTCAGTTATGGGGCTTGAACTCGGCCTGGGCGCTGTCCCTGAGCTCTTCAGCTCAAGGCTAGTGCTCTACCACTTGAGCCACAGCGCCACTCCTGTGGTTTGGGTTTTTAAGAATAGTTTAAAGGATGTTTGTATTTAGACTCTGAATGGATCATTAGATGTCCCATAAAGTATCTCTGTTTTTGTTTAGCAGTATATTTTTCTAAACCCTTGTATGAATTGTCTACTTAATTATATTGCCTGATAGGTTTTATAACTCTCCTTTAAAAACTATGAGGATTTTGGGGGCTGGAAAGGTGGCTCAGTGGTAGAGCGCTTGCCTTGCATGCACGAGGCCCTGGGTTCGATTCCTCAGCACCACATAAGCAAAAAAAAAAAA